TCAGCCGAACTTCAATAAAATTAAAAAATAAATTTTTGTGTTTGTACTTTATTTCTTTCTTTGCTATTCGAAAAACTCCTCTAAAATTTAATAAAGCTTCTTTGTCCCTATACAAAGTAAGTCTAGCTTAACAGCAATACTAATACTTTATTCAAAGTTGTAGAAAATAGCTATATATTTTTATTTTCGGTCCTCCTTCTAATTCAACTACCTACCTAACTTTGTGAGAGCTCGCTCCTTTCCATATAACAGCAAGCCATATGTCAGTGAAAGCAATGGTTGAATTCCTACCATATTCTTCAGACCTGGCACTCAGCAACAGCTGGGTTTTTAAACCCAGTAGTGAACAATATAGAACGATTTACAAAAAAGATATCAAAAAGTTAGAGGTCTTTAGATACATCACTCTAAAAAAAAATTGGTTTTCTTAATTAGATCAAAGACCTATTGAGTAATGTATTAAGTGTATTCTTAAACAACTTGACAACAGTAAAATACTAAAGATTAAATCTTCCCCATTCTTCGAAGCTGAACGTTAATCATTTCAATAATTTGTTCATGATTTAGTTTATAATTAATTACATCATTTTACCAATTTTACTTTGTCTATTTTCATACACTTTTATTTTAGTCTATAACTTAAAATAGAAGAAAATATGAATAATAAAACTAAATTCGATTGTAATCGTTCAGAAAGGCTTACTATTTTAAACGTATATAATAAAAAATCCCGTTTCTTCTGTGATTATAAATTGAAATATTTTATTACGCTATTTGCAATAATTTACAGAGATATCAGGTCTCTCTCACATCCACCCACTTTTCTAGTTTAAGCCTTTCAGTTAGTATTTACACACAATTTTTTAAATACAAATGATAATGATGATCATTTATTCAACTGATCGTAATCTATAACTAATTTCACCTTTCCATTCACAAATCAATGTATTTTGGCCTTAATTTATTAGCTCACCTTCGCACAGCAAGGAATGGCACATCATGAATGCTACGAGTGCTTA